ATAAGACAAAAAAAAATGAATTGGGAAGGGGAAAAAGCATAAAATATTTTTATAAAAAATTCAATATTTCTACTAAGAGAAAAGCCAACAACCTACATAAATAATTTGATGTTAATTGGATTATGAACCGAAAATTTTATGAAAAATGGAAATCCTGGGATAGCTTTAACAGAATATCTAGGATATCAATCTGAATTTTGATTGAATTAACTCAAGTATTTTTAATCCTTTTAAGGTTACTATGTTGATTATAAAACAGTTATCTCGAAAATATGAATCTGAGAAGAAGATTTGACAATATTAAGTTGATTTAAAAATATTTTGCTTTTTTACCTTTATTGATATAAAAAAATACTCTTCAATCATTAACAATTAAAAAATATTGATTTTTTCTGTTCTTTTTAATTAATATTTTAATGAGGTGATTATACAAATGGATTAGGATGAATGAGATTAAAGACATTGTTTATAATTTTAAATATATTGATTATTTTGGAATAAGAACTTATGGCATAGATCCTTAAATTTCAGTGAAGAATTTGAAATAATAACGAAGATAAAGGAGGGATTTTTCATTTGAGTTGGATCAAATAAAATAGCGGAGCAAGAAAATATATATTCCTAAATAGGGAAGTTTATGTTATTCAATTAATTCAAAATAACTCAAAAAATATAATTTCAACTAGAAACCCTTATCAATATTGGGACCTTGCCAAAAAAAAATTCTCAATAACCTACTAATAATGAAAGGTAAATATCAATTTAATTAATTTGGACACATATATAACAGAGGTTGAAATTGATTATAGTTACGATTATGAATGTCAAATCTACTGGAGGTATTCTTGAAGTTGGTAAATTGAATGAATTTTTAACACTTCTAAAAGCATGATTAGAAGCTTTTAGATAGCTGAATGAGGTAATAATCTTGAATGCTGAACATTGATTTATGTGTCGTAGAGACTTATTTGAAATTTGATTTTAGAAGAATTTTTATTATTAATACATATTCATATTATTTTTTATATTAAATAGTTGATTCTTTATTTAGGAATGGGTTCATATCATATCCCTCTTCTTGTTCAATCCTTAAAATTCAAATCATGTAGTTTTACATCGAAGTTTATAACAAGTTTCTCACAGTGAACTAATTACCTTTAAATCCATCTAAGAAAAGGGTATCATTTTATATATTTGATAGTCTAAAAGAAATAACTAATTTGATATACAATAGTTGATTCAATAATATTTTCTGTAATCTTTCATAAGCAAGTAATATTTAACTAACAATATATAATGTTAGGTATAAAAAATAATACAAAATTAGCTATGTATGGAATCTCAATTTATATTATGTTTTAAATTCTAACCTGTAGCTTCCATAATAAAAGTAACAATTATTACTAATCTGTTTATATTTATATTTAATGCAAATATTAAGGAACTGTTTATTATATTTAACAAGGATATTCATTAGACCGATCAAAAAATATTGTTATTGAAATTATGTCAATTAGCGTTTATCCAAATATTATTGTAAAATTGAGAGACCAATCCTTTTTAAGGGTGGTAACGAAGCATTTGGCTCTTGGCAAGTTTGTTTGGAGAGCTATAAAGTATTCATAAATCATAATTGATTATAGTTTGAACATATAGAATACTTAACTGAAATTAATAGCATGTTTAGTTTTATATTGATTAAAATTTATGATTGTTCTGACCAAAGATATGATTGAATTGATAAGAAACTTAGAACTTCGTTTTGAATTTTCTAATTTATTTCTTTCCTATCAACTTTTTAAATGAGTTTTCTAAATATCTAGATGATGTACCAAGAGCTTAAATAAAATATTATACATTAAAAAGTTAGTGTTATTTAATATTCATTGATGACATATTGAAAAATTATTGATTATATAAGTTTGAATCAATTATTGGTAAATTGAAAGGATTAGATGCTTTCAACAATCAATTAGTAGAAACATTATTTTATCTCAAAAATTAAGAAAATGGGGATAAAATTTATAAAAAAAATGGATAAACTCTTAGTATGTATGGTTATTTAATATTTTAGAGAAAAACATTAATTAGGCTGAAAAAATGATTAACCATTACTTAATCTAGAATAAATTAAATATATAGATTGCTAAGGTTAATATGGAATAAAAGGGTATAAAATCAAATAATGGATCTATTTTTGGAAAGGATAATAGGTTGGGGGTGGAAACTAAAATTTAATGGGATAAAGAAAGGATTGTGGATTGATTTATGTGAAAATTATTGGGAGTATTCTATTAATATTAGTAAATTTTTACTAAAGGAATATAATTGAAGAAGGCTTTTATTATCTAGGTTAAAGAATTGGTATTTGGAATATAAATTGCAATAATTAAGCTATATTTTTTAATTTTTTTTATAAAATTTTATTTTAGCGGAGGGGGATTATACGATATGCAAGGAGAAGGCAAGAAAATAGGAATTGGATAGAATTAACTGACAAACTTAATATAAAGTTTTAGGTTTCTTTAGAGGGTTAATATGAGAATGGTAGGAAATTAGGCAGATGGGATATTTTTTAATATGACAAGGAATAATTTTATTGGCTGTATTAATAATTAATATTTTTAAGTGGTTTTAGTATTTATGATTAATAAGGAAAATTAAGTTATGTAAAAAAAGTATTATTTAAATGACTCTAATTTATTTTGTCAAAATATAATAATTTTTAAGGGAAAATTTAGTAATGATAAAAATTTGCAAAATAAGATATTTGGTTAACAGCTAATGGAAATGATGAAAAATAATTAATGTAAGCTTTTAGATAAAATATATAATCTGAATGTGTTAGTGAAGGTGGGTCATATGATGAAGATGGAAATTCCGTTAAAATTGGTAAATGAATTGATTTAGATCATGATTTTGAAATTAAAAAATAAATGACTTAGAAAGGCAAATTTAGAAATGGTAAAAAAATTGGTTAATGGAATATTTTGAACAAAGAAGATAAGATGTAATAAATATTATATAAATTACATTATTATAACCTTGGAGTCGGGGTGGATCCTACGATTTATTAGGTTATGAAATAAAGATTGATATGGGTTAAAGTAAATGAGTAATTTAAAGATAATTTCTAAATAACTTAAAAGGGTGAATATAAAAATGGTAAAAAGTCTGGTTAATGGAACATTTTGATTAAATAAAAATAAATGTAATGAATTTTATAAAAAATATTTAGTGGTGGTGGCTGTTATGATGAAAATAAAAATAACATATAAATTGGAAAGTTGATTGAAGTAACTGAGTAATTTAAAGATGATTCATAAGTTACTTATATTGGTGAATACAAAGACGGTTAAAAATTGGTCGATGGTTAAATTAGAATAAAGGGGAGTATTATTTTCATTCATTTTAATATAAATTAATGGTGGTGGATTATATGAGGAAGGAGGTAAGTGTATTAAGGTTGGAAATTGGATTGATATAAGTGAGGCTTTCAAAAATAATTCATAAGTCACTTTTAGTGGTGAATATAAAAATGGTTTAAAATATGGTAGATGGGATATTAGGCAAAAAGATGATAGAAGAAATAATCAAAATATAAAAATGTACAAAATATCATATAAAACGCTTAATATTAACATGCGTTAGTGGCGGTGGATCATAAGACGAACATGGTAATGGCTTTAAAAATGGAAAATGGATAGATTTTGATGATGATTTTAAAGAGGCTAAAGTACTAACATATATTGGGGTGTATAAAAATGGTAATAAGGTTGGTAGATGGAATATTACATTTGAGGGTTAAGAAATGTAAAAAAATTCTACAAATAGTTTATTATTAAATTGTTAGTAGTGGAGGATCATATGATATAGATGGTAAGGGAATTAAAATTGGCAGTTGGATTGATTGGATGAAAAATTTTATTATGAAAAATAAGTAGCTCATGAACTTGAATATAAAGATGGTAAAAAAGTAGGGGGATGGATATTTATTGGAATTGGAATTACAACAAAAAGATGTAAATATATTATATAATGTTTTTATTTTTAATTTCTTAGTGGTGGTGGATCAAATGATGAACGAAGTAGTGGCTTTAAAATTGGAAAGTGGATTTACTCGGATGATGGCTATAATTATTGGAAATAAAAAATTCTAAAAAGTGAATATATAAATGGTAAAAAATTGGTATATAAAATGAATTAATAAAATAAAAGGAATGAGTGCCTTAAAAAGTATCATTATGATTAATCAATATTATCTACAAAAATAGAATGATAAATTTTTCTTTTAATCAGTATTCATAAATTAAGTTTTGTTCATTTTTAATATTGCTGCTCTATTTATTTTTACGTCTTTTCAAATATCCCTTAGATGTACTTTTAATCATCTTCATATCCACCATTTGATGCTGGTAAAGAAACATAATTTTGGATATACGAATGCTTTAAGGATGCTTTGACCTAGTTACCACATCCAGACTAAAGCACTTCACTTTTTTCAAAATTTAAAGCTTTACCTTTAATAGATTATTAAAACTAACAACCATATATTTTTACATTTATTTTTTCTTTCAAGATTTTCCCTTTATTATTTACTTTATTGGTAGTTAAGAGGAAAATTTTATTTGAAAAAGACCAAATAATTATTCTAAATTTCTCCGCAAGCATATGACTGATTTCTTTCTTGTTTTTTGTTTTCATAAGATTTATGATAAATTAAGAATTTATATTAACTTAGATAGCTCAATATATACCTCTTTAAAATTGCACATTATATTTTAAGTCTGGTAAGTTATTGTATTAAATACAAAAATTTATGCATTTTTATAGACTATCCTCATACAGAATTGTTTTTTATTCTCTTTATGTAAAATAATTTTTCATGTTTTGAAAAGTTTGATTTTCCTTTCTCTATCAAAAACTACATGTAAAAATAATGTTTATATTTAGTTTATTTTTTTTTGACACTATTTTATTCATTACTTGATTTCTTAAGACTATAAAGATGATTAATGTTTTAATCTACTGATAATTCTACTACCAATCTCATAATTTTTTAAGTATACTTTTAAAGAACTAAACTTTACAATATATTTTGAAAAAGCATGATTACTTTTACCATTTAGCGTTTGAAAAGGTTTAAGGAAATTGTTTTAAAAACTTAACAAAACTCATTCTAATAAAAATGCTATATCAAAGAGTGGAAATTGAAATAAATAAATATTTAATCTGAAGTTTTTAAAATTCTACAGCTTATTTTTGAGATTTAAGTGAGTTAGCTTCTTCGATTACAAAACCTGGTACCTCTCCATTCGATGGAATATGTTAAATTATCAAAACCATAAAAAATGAGACTTTGTTTATTATCTTCAAATACAACCTATTTATTAGAATTCTAGAAAGAAAGTAGAACATATAAATGCTTAAGCTTCAATTTATGGTTGTTTTATCATAAAAATATTTGCTACCTTGCTTATATCGAGTTTATTTTTTGGCTTTTGCATACTATAGTATTGTTTAAATAAGTATGTTTTATATTAGCAAGTATTTTTGGGTTTCCATTTTTGCATTTACATTTGATACTATCATTTCCATTTCCAAAAGTTTATAATAGAAAGTGATTAATGTTTTGAAAGAGGAAAAAATGATTATCTTAATTGTAAATACGGATATTATTAATTAGTTTATTCATATCAAAAATGGCTAAAAAATTCTAGCTCAGTTTTTTTTTCCTCAAATATTATTAAGATCCAAAATTTTTTTTAGATTAATAATTTTTTATATCATTCAAATATTCAAAAGAAAATTAAAAATAGACATATACATTAGCTATAAATCTTATATTCAAAAGGCCATTATAGATTTTAAGCGATCACGTTCATTCAGATATATGATACATCTTTCCGGAAATTCTACACATTTAGTATCAAGCAATGTTGTTAAAGGTCATGTCAAAAAAATCATTGCTATATTAATAAGTACTAAATGGACATTCCAAATAACAATGAACATTATATAAATCAGTTTTTTTGAGACTTAATTAAACACATTCGTTATTAAGATTGTTTTAATAATTAAGGTAATAATTATTACATGATCCATAAGTTAAATATGTTTCAAGGGTACATTTAGTAAACACTAAAGAATTGCATTTCTGACAATCTTCAAAACAATAAAGACATTTTAGATTAAAACATACATTAACAGCAGACATATAATAACGCAATTATTAATGTTGGTAAGTACTGCAGCAATTGGCAAAATATTTATCTTATCCTTAAGATAAATTATTAGTACTAATAAGGAAACAATTTTTTTTGATTTCATCAAATACTATAAGATGTGTTTATGTAAAAACTTAATTATCCAAATAATATCCATATTAGCTTGTGATAAAATCATTTTCTGAAGGCTCAACACAAATTAAATATCATGAATCAAAAATTTAACAAACTGATGCCGAAGTAAATTGTGAAAAATTTAGGATTATTAAATTAACAATATTTACCATCTAGATGATATCTATCCTCCAGAATCACAGTTTTTTTTAAATTAAATTCTTGTATCATAAATGAACAAAACATGCATCATTGTGTACATAATAGGTTAAATCATAAACATAGGATAAATATCTAAACAAGTCTTTATATTCAAAAATAAGAGAGTTTAAATTAAATTAGTTGCCATTATTAGATCTAAAACATTCTTAACATAAAGAATTGCATCCATAGCATTAATAATCCTTTAGGTAAGATTTTGTATAGCATATATCTACTTTTTACTATCTAATTTATAAGAGTATAAAAATGAAGGTTAATCTCTAAAGCAATAATTTTCACTCAAGTATAAGTAGTCTTGAAATTTAGCCAAATATGTTTAATCAGCTAAATTTGGATAAGGCTTAAAATCAGGGCAAACAGAAAATTCATATTTGAATTTCTATAATAACCAACATCAAATTGATTGAAATCATTAACTTAAATCCCTAAACATTCTGAACATGGACCAGGACAACTACTCTAAATTAATTAATCTAAATAGGTCTCATCAATATTTGAAAAATAATATCATCAGTTAAAGTGATCCACTATATAACTTCATTTATAAGTTCCCTAAGGGTGCCATCAAATGAACATACCATTCTTAAAATAATTAAGGGTTGTTAGTAAAAAATTGATATAGGTTTTCCATCCATTTAAAAAGTAGCCGAATGAACAAGTCATACATCAATCTTAATTTCGATTAATGCATGATGCACACAAAATGTTATATAGCATGATCTTTGTGAAGCATACTTCTAGGATTGAAAAACGCAAAATACCATTTTCGACAAAATTAATTCAACTCTTAACAAATTATTTTTTATTCCGATTTTTATAATAAAACAATTAATTACGTATAGAAATCTTGTACAGGATGTTTAGTAAGCAGTTTCACATTCAGAAGCACAACTATCGTAATATTAATAGGTTAATCAATCTAAAAAAAATTGCTTTATTAAGTTTACATTTTTTTTGAAGTAATATTATTTAAAACAATCAAGTTATTGAAAAAGATGCTACTTTTTCAGAAATATCATTAATAATTTTAATCTAGAAGTTGTTATATTTTCATCAAACAAATATCAACACCTTTCCAATTTATACTATCATTAGATTATGGATAGCATTAATTCGCATACTGATTTAAATTAGTTTTCGTTTAGATCAGAACATTTTCGTATATAATGAACAGCAATATAATAGTTATAAACAGCACAATATGCTGATAAAGGTTCAACATTTAATCCAAAACATTCCCATTATGTCCTAATCTCTCCTGAATTCTCTGATATTTTTTTTATCTGTATTAGTAGCATAACGATGGTTTAATTATTTCCAAACTTAATTAATAGAATAAACAGAGAGTATATGAATTAGCCATCAGAAGGGAAATTAAAATCATTTAAAATGTAAAATCCTAACGTAACACTATGATGATTGACCTCCAAAGACCCTTATAGATTTCCAATTAGGTTAGTATTTACAATTATTTCTAGAATTTCAATCAAACTTCATGTGTAGAATATAACAAATATTACAATGTCATAATTATTGTCATTCATCATTCTAATTATTACCCTCTGAAGTTATACGTATTTTCATTTGACTATGATATAATTATATCAACATTAGTTTTGTTTAAACATTTCAACAGAATAATCACTGAAGATAAAGAATACTGAAGAGCATTTTCACAACTTATTAATGTAATATAACAATCTAAACAAAAATTTTTGATTTGTCTAAGTTCAATAATTTCCAGTTTTAAATCTTCTACTTTATTTCTCAAATCACTAAATCTGTCTATTTAAGTTAAAGTTAAAATTGTAATAAAACTAAAAATTTCATCCAATTCTGCAAAGAGCAGTTCCAGTATCGATAAGATATTTATTTATAAATAATTACCCATTTGCAGAAGAATTTTCTTTATCTTTAAACCATTTATTAATGTAATAACTTTCTGTGACACATCTCCTAGATTCAAATATTCCTTTAATAAATATACCAATGATCATTAATTTAAAACTTTCCAAAAATAAAGAAATTAAGCACAAAACTAAATGTGGTTATAAATATTAGCATTCATTAACAAAGAATAACTACTATACCAAAAAGCACATATGATCTTCAAACTTTAAAAGCATCAATAATTAAATCTCCTACAAATGTTATGATCTAAAATAATAGTAAATAATTAACATCTTTTTAAGTCACATAGGAATATTTGTTTATGGATAAACACCAATTAATTACATGCCAAGAGAGTGCTTTTAACATTATTTAAGTGTATTTAAAAAATTAAACAATCTGGTTTAAAAAATTTACTCAAAAATCAATTTAAAATCATTACTTACTAATTTCCAAATTAGACTAAATGAATTTTAAGTTTGAAAAAAAGAAAAATTAAACTGTTTCATTAATTTAATAATTAATTACTTTAAATATGATTTTCTTATAATATTAATATCTACAATACATTATGTAAATAAATAGTTTAAAAAAAGATAAATTTGTAAATCTATGCTTTATTTAAAATTTAGATTATTACATATTATGATACCTAAACTTTCTTTATATTTATATCATTTAATTTATATTGTGATATAATTGAAATACATAAGTTTACAACTCTTTATAATTAATACTGAAAAATATGCTTAATAATTCATTTATAATGAATCAAAAGTCATAAAGATTGTTAGATAAATAGCTATACTTAAAATTAATTAAAAATAATATATATATATTAAATTAATAAAAACCTCTAAATTAGATTATTGATAAATGTTGATTTGAGTTTATTTCAAATCTAATAATCTTTTATGCATTATAATCAATACCTAACATTGCTAGGCTTGATGTAGATTATGAATTAAATAAATTCACAAGAGATCTTGATAAATAATATTAGTACTTTTATGATTCTAATTAAAATTTTGATATTTGTAATAAATATTCGATTAAATTTGTTTTTAATTTTTATTCTCACAATTTATTATAAAAAATTATTGTACTTCATTAAATTAAATTTTCTATCTATGTAAAGAGTTAGAGTTATGGCAATTTTTTATTTTCAATGCTTCATATAAATTATTTAAGAGCAAGATTTTGTATCTTTTATAATCACTCTTAATAAATCAATAACAAAAGGATAACTTAAAGCAGTAAAACTAAAATCATTTCGATTACAAAAGGACCCTTGTTAAATTAAATTAGTTGAAGTTTCATTAAATTTGAATAAATTAAAAAATTCAAAGATTTTACTATTTTAAAAATAGTCTTAGTAAATTCATAAGCAATTAGGTTTATTTAGAAGTCATAATATATCACACATCAGAAAAATAAGAATAACTATAAATACTTTAAGGTTTCATCTTATCTCATTACATCATAATGTGGAATTTTTCAAAAATACATCCTCACTTTTTTACAATACCCCCCTCTTTGGAGTTTATAAAAACTTTAAAAATATTTTGATCACAATTTTCCTGGAGAGGTGACAACCTGAGAGGTCATACTAGGTTTTGAACACTTAAAAAATCTGAAAAAACTCCACCAAACAGAAACATAAATATGAATAATAATCCCAATATAATATTAATTGATGTATGCACATTTCCTATCATTTTATTTACCCAAATCTAAAATCGAAGATTAAAGAAGTATAACACAACTGTGAATCAAATCTGATTACAATAATAAAACATAATCTAATCTCTAAACAGTTTCCCATAAAATACAATTATTTTTGCTTTAAATAATTATATAAGGAGAATAAGAAAAATATATTGTTCAATTATATAACCCAAATTAATTATAAATTAAATTATTCACGTAAAAATTAATTATTCCATATTATTTAAGAAGAAAGTAATGTTTGTGTTGAAATGATTTATTAATAGCTTAATTTACCTCAATTATTATCAATTCAAAATTTGCACAAAATCTGAACTACTATTTTACTGAAATGCACAAGATACTTTTATTGATTTTGCAGTATATAACTTTAAATAAGAGTAATAGAAATTTATTAAAAAAATAAAAAAGAAAATGAAGGGCTCTTTTAAACAGAAGGAAGCTCTAGCTGAGATCTTTGCTTAGGTCAAAAATGTAGAGGAGCAAATTTTTGGCGTCATATTAGAAATATTAAGAAAGTAAAAAGTGTAAGACTGCATTGGATTTCTATCAGAAATTGGGAATCAAAGTCAATTAGAATTATAAATTTTACTACAAGGAGAGAATTTAAAACAATGGGATAAGGAATAAAAACTGTCTGTTATTGGAAATGACATTAAATAAATTACAGATGTCTTAAAAAAATTACAAGATCATGACTTTAATTACAAAGACTTTTCCTCTGAAGAAAATGAAGAATCTACATTAAGCCTTGTTAACAGCATCAAGGATAATAGAAGAATAATTTAATTTCTGTAATTTCTAGTTCATCTTACATCCATTGATGAAACTCTAATATAGGGTGGGTCTAATTCATTACATTTATTAGTTTAGATGAAGGTAGACCTTAGAATCCAAAATTTTGAAAACATAAAAATTTAAAATAGTTCTTTAATGGGAGCTAATTTTGTTAGGTGCAATTTAAGTGGTTCTTAATTTAATAATATCAACATATGTGGAATAAACCTGAATGGAGCATTATTATTTAATTGTAAATGGAAAGACTTAAGAATCCATGAATTGAATAAATTAAATGGTCATACTAATCCTGTAGCTTCAGTTTGTTTCTCTCCTGATGGAAATACATTAGCTTCTGGTAGTCTAGATAAGTCGATCCGTCTTTGGGATGTCAAAACAGGATAATAAAAAGCCAAATTAGATGGTCATACTCATTATGTCTGGTCAGTCTGTTTCTCTCCTGATGGAAACACATTAGCATCCTGTGATGATTAGACTGTCTTTTTATGGGATTCTAAAGCAAGAAAGTAAAAAGTTAAATTATTTGATCCTAATTAACGAATCACCTAAGTCAGCATCTCTCCTGATGGAGCTACATTAGCATTTTGTAGTATTCTAAATCCTATCTGTCTATGGGATGTCAAAACAGGATAAAAAAAAGCATAATTAGATGGTAATTGTGGAACTGTCAACTCACTCTGTTTCTCTCCTGATGGAAATACATTAGCTTCTGGTAATGATTATCACTCTATCCATCTATGGGAAGTCATAACAGGATAATAAAAAGCCAAATTAGATGGTCATTAGGGAATTGTCTTCTCAGTCTGTTTCTCTCCTGATGGATATACATTAGCCTCTGGTAGTAGTGATAAGTCTATCCGTCTTTGGGATGTCAAAACAGGATAATAAAAAGCCAAATTAGATGGTCATAGTGATTTTGTCAAATCAGTTTGTATTTCACCTGATGGAAACACATTAGCTTCTGGTAGTATAGATAAGTCTGTCCGTCTTTGGGATGTCAAAACAGGATAATAAAAAGCCAAATTAGATGGTCATACTCATTATGTCTTCTCAGTCTGTTTCTCTCCTGATGGATATACATTAGCTTCTGGTAGTTATGATAACTCTATCCGTCTTTGGGTTGTCAAAACAGGATAATAAAAAGCCGAATCGGATGGTCATAGTGGAATTGCAAACTCAGTCTGTTTCTCTCCTGATGGAAATACATTAGCCTCTGGTAGTAGTGATAAGTCCATCCGTCTTTGGGATGTCAAAACAGGATAATAAAAAGCCAAATTAGATGGTCATACTCATTATGTCTTGTCGGTCTGTTTCTCTCCTGATGGAAACACATTAGCTTCTGGTAGTTATGATCATTCTATCCGTCTTTGGGATGTCAAAACAGGATAATAAAAAGCCAAAATAGATGGTCATACTAGTGGTATCTTATCAGTCTGTTTCTCTCCTGATGGAAATACATTAGCTTCTGGTAGTCATTATAGCTCTATCCGTCTTTGGGATGTCAAAACTGGATATTAAAAAGCCAAATTAGATGGTCATAGTGGAAGTGCAAACTCAGTCTGTTTCTCTCCTGATGGAAATACATTAGCTTCTGGTAATGATGATAACTCTATCCGTCTTTGGGATGTCAAAACAGGATAATAAAAAGCCAAAATAGATGGTCATACTAATGGTATCTTATCAGTCTGTTTCTCTCCTGATGGAAATACATTAGCTTCTGGTACTTATGATAAGTTTATAAGTCTATGGGATGTCAAAACAGGATAGTAAAAAGCTAAATTGAATGGGCATACTAATGGTATCTTATCAGTCTGTTTCTCTCCTGATGGAAATACATTAGCTTCTGGTAGTTATGATAACTCTATCCGTCTTTGGGATGTCAAAACAGGATAATAAAAAGCCAAATTAGATGGTCATAGTGGAAGTGCAAACTCAGTCTGTTTCTCTCCTGATGGAAATACATTAGCTTCTGGTAATGATGATAACTCTATCCGTCTTTGGGATGTCAAAACAGGATAATAAAAAGCCGAATCGGATGGTCATAGTGGAAGTGCAAACTCAGTCTGTTTCTCTCCTGATGGAAATACATTAGCCTTTGGTAGTAGTCATAAGTCTATCCGTCTTTGGGATGTCAAAACAGGATAAGAATATAAATCCTATGATAAAAATTACAAAGATCTTTTAATATAATTTAAGATTCCACTACAATAAAATAGTCCTATATCAGAAGGTAATATTATTAATTTTATCTTTTTAGTCTCCAATTACATTACTACACTCTTTATATCCTAATCCACAATATACTAAGCATAAGGAGCTCTAATTCTCAAAGGAGAATTCATCAGTCATCATGGCATTGATTTAAGACCCTTTTTTAAATCCAAAGGAAGTTGCATTTTAGAAGATTTATAGTGAAAGTTATTATCAACAACAATTATAATTACAACCAATTTCTAATAGTTTTTAATTATTTCTTTATCCGTTAATCTCTTTATCTTAGCTTTTAAAGATAGGTAAGTCCATCATTTTCACAGTGTATAAAAATCTATACTCAGTATACTTTGGGGAATAATTAAAATATTTATATTAATTTAAATGATACCACATTAAATTAATATTAAAAAAAATTTTAACAGAGATCATGAACAGAACTTAAAAGAAAATGTGAAATATTATTTAATGAAATAAGGTAACCTAATACAACTACATTCCTTTTAAAGGTTATAATAAATAGTTATAATATTTAGTTTTTTAGTTTATCCATTGTAAAGATCTGCTAAAAAAAGATTTGAAAAAAGATATTTCAAGAATTAAAAAAATAAAGTAAATCCTAAAATTAAACTATAATATTGATAGGCTTTAGATTTGAGGAAAATAATTATATCTACCACTAATTGCCATCAAATAATCTTAATTATTGATTAACTAAAGCTCTATATGAACCCAAACCCACATCCAAAAACTACTTTCAACAATCTAATGAGTACGTATAAATAATAAACATTTTTAATTACTGAAATA